AGATTCGTTTAAAAGTACAAGTAATGGGCATAACGACAGTAACGGCACTACTGCCGTTCTCATTGAAATTTATTCACACAACATAACGACACTTGTGCCGTTCTAATATCAGTAACGACACGAGCGTCGTTTTCTTGACAATACTTTCATCAATTTGTTTTCTTTTCATAACTCAATTTCCATCGAGTGTCTTTCTAATAAATGTTTTATTCACACAGCAGAACGACACAAGTGTCGTTTTCTGGACAGTAACGGTACTACTGTCGTTCTCATTGAAATTTATTCACACAGACAGCATAACGACACTTGTGTCGTTCTAATATACACAGACAGCATAACGACACTTGTCCCGTTCTAATATCAGTAACGGCACGAGTGCCGTTTTCTACATTGTTTTCATCAATTTGCTTTTCTTTTTATAACTCAATTTTCATTAAGTGTCTTTCTAATAAATGTTTTATTCACACAGCAGAACAACAGAAGTGTCATTTTCTGGACGATAACGACACTACTGCCATTCTCATTGAAATTTATTCACAGCATAACGACACATGTGCCGTTCTAATATCAGTAACGGCACAAGTGTTGTTTTCTTGACAGCATTTTCATCAATTTTTTTTCTTTTCATAACTTAATTTTCATCAAGTATTTTTTAATAAATGTTTTATTCACAAAATGACACACATGGCCGCTCATACTCTTATTTATCGACAGAACGACACACGTGACCAGTAACGACACTTGTATCGTTCTATTGATTTTTCCAATATTTTTACTTCTTTTCCATCGGAACGACCTCGAGCATTGGACCGCCCAACTTATATTCTAATAACGTCACATGTGTCATTATCATGGAACCACAACAGAATGACATGGTCAAACTTTCAATGTTACATACTTTTGGGAGTCCATTTGAAAAAATTGGATGTAGGTGAAAATTTCGGAATGACATAAGTGTCGTTACTGAACATGAAAACGACACTTGTCATGTTATATGACTAAATACGAGTATAAGCAATCACAGTCCATTTGTCCCATGAAAATAATAAGTGAAACTTATTTATATTGTAACATGCAAATAACACGTACAATGTTAAGATATATGTTCATTAACTTAATCGAAACATATGAGTAAGACGACTTGTGCTTTTACTATATCGATAATATAAAAGTTAT